TTTCCCTACTCCTTCTGGCCACACTATTCCTGATACAAGCCAGGATAGCTTGCCTGGCTTTTACAACTCATGCTAGGGCTTAGGGAAGGGAAAAAACCAAAAACCCTATTTATAACCTTCCCGCTGAATGCAGGGTTGCTGGGTCTGACAGGAAAGGTGTCATGACCAGCTCTTCCAGTGCTTCTGAAGATGGGCTCAGATGGGCGGCTCCTCACCTTTGTGTCCCAGGGGGCCAATAGGGAGCCAGGTACCTTCTCTCACGGCAATTTTGGACATAGGCAGATGCAGACACATGTGTCATGGTACGTGGGCAGCTGGCACAGAGCAAAGCAGCTGCCAAGGCAGCAGTGCAGTGCTGAGGATCAACGTTTTGGCATCACTCAGACTCTGATGTTGAGCTCTAGGCCTATGTAGAGGGAACCTCTGCCCGCAGGCTGTGTTTCTAATCTCCCAGCTAGTCAGTAGCCACAGACCCCACGACAGCTTAGCAGCAGCAGGAGTGTGGGCAGGCTAATGATATCCATGGCATGAACAGAGCAGAGGAGGCAGAGGTTGGTACTGGGAATTTTGGCAACACAGGGACAGACAAGTATTAATACGCCTTCTCGAAGGCAGCTGTTTTGTGCAGTGTCACAGGTACAGTAATGCACATAAGATGCTCTGCTCGCCTTGCAGATAGGAAGCAGAGGTGTGGTTAGAGACAGGCTGAATTCTCAGCATGTATAAAACAACACTTTGCAGGACAGTAGTTATTTACAGCTGCTGAGGATTTGGCCTTCTGCGTTGTGGACCCTTTTCATACATAACTGCTACAGTTCACAGAGCAGTTCGAAAAATTACACCTGCACACTAAAAAAAAAATCATTTGGCAGTTTATGTCCATTCTCAGGGCAAGATGTTGTTAGTAAAACCCCAGTAAGCCTTGGATTTAAGCCATAGTATGTCATTCCATATGTTAGTGCCTACAGCACCTTTCTATAAACCAGCTCCCCTCTTTCCTAAGAGTAGCCTCACTAGTTTAGTCCTGGGCATTTCCTTGTCACCAGGTTTACAAGCATCTTAGCTAACAAATACAACACAGAGGAAACACCATTCAGAGGAAACCACGTTACAGGATGTGAACAGGACCAAAAAGGTGTCCTCTGCCTGCAGCACTCAACATGCCCTGATGCTCTTTGCATGTGACTAAAATGTGGGCCAACGATTCTCAACAAGTCAGCACAAAACTCCCAGCTCTTTCCATGGTTTCAGGTGCCTTCTGATTTTGCTCTATTGATTGGCCTAAGTAGTAAATTGCAGAAATTAGCAAAGAAACTCTTTCTCTTGTGGTTTTGGCCTTTGACAGCTTGTCCTAAAGCCAGCTAAGGTAAGCTGAAATCATCGCTTTTACTTAGCAACCCTAAGTCAGGCTATCATGGCTGGTGTTCATACGGAAGACAAATGGAAAAACAGCTTAAAATAGAATGATGCTCCTCCTGACAGACACATCACAGGTTTACCTCTTCCTCTCAAAGCTTGAGGCTGGACAGGTCTATAGATCTGCGTGAAGAGTGTGACTGGTGTTCCTGCTATAGCAGAGTTTAACCTGCCAGAGAAGACACACATCGGTCAGATTTCTCCCCCTCATTTCCATCAAGAGCAATTGCACAAAATGAAGCATGGAGGCTAATGAAATGTATTTCTCCGTAGTGAGGAGTCAAAGAGAATGATGGGAGCCTGTTGTTGTTTGGGGAAAATCAACACAGCTCCTTCACAGGAGTTAGGCTGGTTTCCACCAGCAGTAGACGTGGGATGCTCCATTAGGTAAAGTACACCAGTAATTAAAACATATAGCAAAAGGTTTGTAAATTAGCACAGCGCTTTGAAAGGATGGGAAGATTTTTGGATGGGCAGTCAATCCACGCCTACCGGAGGTCAGCAAGAGCCGTAGATGCTGGCCAGTAAGACAGGAAATTTGGCAGCTGTTACAAAGTTACCTGCATATAACTTGGCTTCAGAACGGCAGCAAGAAAACCGAGCAGTTGTCCCTCGAAAATATTTGAGTCAGTGGTCTAAACTGTTAAAAATTAAAACTGAGAGGCTGGCCTATATACAAACCAGTTGCTGTATCTGTGGCCTTTCCAGTTTGCTGTGCCAGAATTTGAGAGAATATTTTGGCCTGTAGGGAGGATATACACGTTTGTGTAGAGATGCAATAGATGCACATTTTGATTTTTGAATTACCCTTTTTAGATTGTTCTAACTATCTGATAGTGTCTAAGTATCTAAGATGGAGATGCTGGATATTGATGAAGTATCTGTTCCCTACATGTGAGGATGACTATTAGTGAGTGTCCTTCCCCTGCATCTTCTGGACAACACAGAGTCAGGGGTCTAGCACTGCTGCATCTGCCTGTGCAGGCAGCACTGGGCACTGCTGTGAAAGTCCAGCTCCTTTTATCATATGAGGCTGATGACTGACATTAGAGCGAGCCAATGCTCCTCGGTAGGTCTAAATATAACCTGAATCCGGGCACATTTCTTATATTCTACCCTTCTCCCCCACCTAGCCTGAAGGATGGGGTTGCTGTGAAGAGGGTTTTGCTTTTCAGGACATTTACCCTATCTGAGCCTTGTGACACCAACCTGCCTTTAATGCCCCAGCAAGGTTCACTAACACCTGGGCAGTAGGGGAGTGCGTTCAAATGCCTTCCGTATGCTCCTGACTTCTGTGCACTAATGCCAGGACAGTATACGGAAAGTAGGTTATAAGGAAAGTAGAAGATGAAAATGGCTCTGACTCTTTCCTTGGCAGAGGCTTAACCAAATTTTGCATGTATTTAGATTACTGTCCTTGGATATCTACAAGTGAAAGGTGTGAAATGGCCATAACTTTTTGTGGATGAAATGCCTTTTACATTTTTCAAAGGGGATAAAAGAGAAAGTCCACAAATCCAGCCTTACCGGCTCTCCTCATTCTCGATAACACGTTTGTACCGTTCCAGCTCATTCTCCAGGGACTGCTGGTAGATCACCAGCTGGCGGCAGTCAGTCGTGTACTTCTCCAAGGTCCTCTCGGCCTCCTCTAGCCCCTTCCTAAGGTTTTCAATCTGCTCATTGTAAAGCTGAATTTCATCATCATAACTGTCCTGGGTGGTTTTAATTGCTTGCTCCAGCATGGTTGTCTGGTAAACAAAATTGGTGGGTGAAAGAAAGCTCTGAAGCATTCAGCATCCTCATATTTCAAGGGAAATTAAAGGCAAGACATGTTTTACTATGATGTGTGAGGCTGCACTGATGAAACCTAACAGCAGTTTCACTGCATCTGTTTAGTTATTGAAAATCAGTAATTCCCCCTACCCCAGCCCTCTTATCTGTTCCAAAGCTTCTGTTCCACACTAATGGATCAAGAAGCATGATGGGATTGGCATGAACCAGGTGAACAGCTGTGTGATGTCTCCGTCCTCGTGTGAGGCTGTCTGATGTCTTGCTGCGTGACACACAGCTCACCATGAACAGCCTTGGCAAATCAGGCAGTGTCTTACGAAGAGAACAACAGTGGTTAACTGGAAAGATATGCCTGGGCAAAAACATATTCCTCCTTCTCTGTGGTCCACAGACAAAGCACCAAAGGTTTAAAGAAGGTGTTTTTTTACAAAAAAAGCTTCCCTTTTGAATTCAATTTCTCGGCTTTTTTACTTTAATGATAAAAATAACTGCTGTGCAGTAAGGCAGTCATTGGAGAGCGCATCAACAAGGAAGTGGCAATCAGTCCCTTGCAAAAAAAAGGGGCAGGCATTAAAGGTGGGATATTTGACGGTGTAAGTCTGCTCTCACTTTCTTCTGCTATTTTTGGCTCTTTAGTATAGATCCTTTATCACTTTTTTCCTTTTCAAAAAGCACACACAAAGCTAAGGGGGCAATAACTAACTAACAGATTCTTTAATAATTGATTTATTTCTGTATGTTACAGACAAGATTTTTTTCAAAAACCTTTCAAAAGCCTAAATATAGGAGCTAAGTCCCTTGGCGTTAGTTTAGTTATATTGCAGTGTACAAGTGCACCAACAGGTTCCACAGACCGCTTTAGTGCATGGTGCTCACAAGTTACGGGTCAATAACCTCACTTCCACATGGTTATCAGGTCCAGAGACAGGAAAGCAGAGCAGCTTGAGGACACCTCAGTCATCAGCCCAGCCTTCACTGTCATAAGCAACCATCTCATCGACCTCCAATCATAAAGTTATTTCACTCTTTTAATCTCAAGGCATGAGAATGAATTAATAAATTCTTTTTAAATGGGACATGAAGATTTTATTTTTGAAAGCAGCATGATTAATTCGCCAGAGTGCCTCACTCTATATGCCAGCAGAACACTGATTTCCCCTCACTTTTTCTATATTGATTCTTACCCTTCCCAGAGCGCATGTGTCCTTTCCACCAAAGCATCAGACATGAGACAGAGAACAAGGAAAAGACCTAGGGGGTAGAACTGTCCACAGGTGCCCTAGTGAAAGAAGTTATGCTCAGGAAGTTAAGAGCTGCTGCTCTGACTTTCTGGAGGAGTCTAAAGTTCCACCAAAAGATGTTTAAAGCCAATATATCACTTCCCCCACCACGACAGACAACTTGAGGTGCAAAGGAAGCTGTATCTGGAGGCATAAGGTCATCATTCCCAACCCCTATCCACTAAGATACATCCTCCGTGTATATAGACCCGCCATTGGCAGACCTACAGGTCTGCTTTCTATTCACCGTAGCCTGTAGCTGCTCCTCCATCTCCTGCCGCCCTTGCTCAGAGACACTGGATGGAAGAGGAAGGTCGATTTATGGCAAGTTTGGCTGGGGGATGGGCAGGAGCACTGAGTCTTAGGCAGTCATTTTCTGCAAACCAGGAATTGGCAAAAAACAGGTGGTTTTGGTGCTGGTAGTGTCTAAGCACAGGAGAGGTGTTGATGTAGTATTTAGTAGTGACAGGGATCAACACAGGGTGCCAAATGTAGCTTGACATCTATTTCAAAGGACATTCAGTTTTGATTACCAAGTCTGTCCAGTCCTTCTCACAGCAAGATCAGCATTGGATATGGCACTGAAGAAAAGTACTGGGCAGAGTCCCAAAGGCCCCCACCATTTTTCATGAAGCCAGTTTCCAGCCTGAGCTCAGTAAGAAAGCAAGAAAGTAAGACCAGCCCCATTTGACATTTCCAACTGCAGCCTTCTGCTGTCTCCATCCTACAAAAATATAGTGACAACATGGAAACATTTTCGCACCACCTACTCTGATAAGCAATGATGGCTTCATTGTGGCTACAATATCTGTAGACCTCCCTGGCCATCTAAACCTGATCAATTGGGCCACAAAAAGAATGAAAGAGCTGAAGAAGAAGATGGAAGAAGGAAAACACTTCTCCAACTCTCCAAGTCAATTGAGTTCACAAGACCATGTTAAAGACCATGTGACCATAAAAAGAGCAGAGTTGATGAGAGTCATAGTTGTGTTTATAGCTAGTTACGGCAGTACCTCTGTCTGCAGTTTGTATTTTTGTGCCTGTAGCTGGCAGAGGATACCCTTGTATTCTTCCAGCTGGCTCTGCAGAACAGGGATCCTCCTCTCTGCTACCAGTTTTTCCTGGTTGGAAGAAAACAACATGTATACAGCAAAGTATGTTTCACTCTTAAAAAGAGCCAAAAGAAATTCCACTACTGGAAAGAAACAGTAAAGACAAATAGAAAATATCAAGAGACAAATAAAAAATTGTGTATTGTACTTCAAGTAAACACTTGTGGCACAGCTTAAAGAAAAAAACATGTCAGATGGCAGGACTGTAGAAATACAGCTTATGTTGAAATTAGACTCTGTACATATAGCTGTTTATATCTTCTTCCAACTAATAAACTTTCTTAGCATAGCCACTTACATTGGTGGGAATCATCAAGTTTTCATTGAGTCTGTAGCAATTTATTTGATTTACAAATTTTCACCGTATCTTACCCCTTCAGGTCAAGATTTACTCTCTCTGTAAATACTCTTATATCCCACCAGCTCCTCCTCAGACAGGAAGCACAACTGCTTCAATTATCTTTCAACTCTCCATTTGGGAGGCTAAGACATATTTCTAAAGTTACAATTATTTTTTTTCTCTCATATTCAGTACTTACTCACAGTTCTTGCAGTTTTCATGTAAACTTAGGGTGGGAGTTAGACTGTCTGGGATGCTTTATGAATAAAAATGTACTCTTTCTTCGAGCAGCATTTATTTACTGACAGCAATATTTACCTCACATATACCAGTGGTTATAGGAGACACGCGAGGAGTTGTCTGGATGATCTGCTGCAAAACATTAACGTAGGTCTGGACTTCCATAAGGTTCTGTGGTTAAGTAAAAAATGTTTCCATCAGAAAAAGACATAAAAAGGTGCACCCTTCAATGTCCTCCACTTTGGCAGTTTACTCCTAGATATATGCTTCTTTCAACATATAAAAGTCTAGTTCATGTTCAGATTTGGTTTTGGAATGTGGTTTTAGACCTGATTTTGAGTGCATGCATACTAACGGTTTCATCATGCTGACAGTACATTACAGGCATTTGGCTAAGTGACAATACAATTCATAGTCTTAATTAAAGACTCGGTGATTTCCAAATTCACGGAAGATTTTCAAAATGAGGACCACAAATACCTTTGCATATGATCCAAAAAAAAAGGGAGCCTCTTCTTTCAAAAGCAGCAAAGATGGGACAGGGGCCTGAAATGAAGCCTCACAGCTCTCCCATGAAGGAGAAGGGGCATGCACATGTTAAAGTTGGCTGCAGCGTAATCATATGGCCACAAGCTTGTATCTGCAGATTAACTGGAATGCTCTGGCCCAGAAAATTGGGATTCCTTCTCTGATGAAAGCAGGAAGTGCTTCTTAGCATGAAATATAACACAGCCTGACTAGCCTGTTGGGTTAAATCAGGATAACAGGGCAACAAATTCAAGACATTGCTGTAGCTGTTGGCATTAGGCCCTGAGGGACTGAATTTGGTTACTTGCAGCCATCCAGTTGTTGGGCTTGACCTCCACACTGCAGCTGTTGTACCCACTGAAAATACACAGTGTTACATTTACCCAACAAAACACAAAAGGGATTTGCTTTAATTTAATTCACACATCTCTAGAAGGAACAGCTAAAGAAGATGGCAAATTCAGCCAGTTACCTTCTTGTATCTGTCCTGTGAGGCATTAATGTCATCCTGTAGGAACTGGGACTCGATCTGCAGCTCCAAGTTGCACAGCAGTGCTTCGTCAGCTTCCTGCAATGCAGAGACACGTGGCACGGTCAGTACATACGGCTGGAGTGTGAAAAACACAGTAGCCACTTAGCCATGATGTGAGTCATTACATACATAGCAGCCTGCGTGCAGAATTTAAGCCTACTGGGAGAAAGAACAGTATTATGAAACCAACAAAAACAAGGCACCTTATTCGTTGTGTTCTCTCGCTGTACATGGTGCTTCTCTACACAAATATAATTTATGTCATAGTTCGGTACTGTCAAAATGTATTTGCCACATGCTTCACGAATGCTGGGAGCCAAGTAATAGATGCCATAAACTACCAGTCTGACAATAAAAGCAGGATGATGCAGGAATCTTAAATAATTACATCAACAGACTAAGACATTAATTTCTGTAGTGCTTATGACAGAATCTGAGGTATCCTGATGCCTTTTTAATACTCCCAGTAAAGAAGCACTTATAAAAAAATCCCCATCATGGTCCACAGTATTTTTGGTTTTTTTAAAGTGTTCTCAAATATCACAAAAGTTTGTCAATTTTGATACATTTCTGGAAATAAAAATGACAGATGAGCAAGGCCAGAAAAAATCACCTTGCTGCAGAAGTTTCTAATACATTGGGATTTGTGAGTCCGAAAGTTCATAATGTTCAATTCATTCAGAGGACAAGCTGTATGACTAGCAATTTCAAAGTACATTTTGGCACTGGTATTTAAACCTAGTGAAATGTCCATTTCTGTTCAAAAGGTCTAACTTAAATTTTTCCTACATTATTTAGCACAAACCCTTGAATATAGAAAAATTCCACGGACTTCACAATATATTTTAAAATACTTGTGTGAAGGGAACACCTTTATTTTTCTACTTACTGCATGCCTTCTTGGTTAGGTTTATCATCAGCTAATACTGTAAAATATCACTTTTGAGAAAGCATATTGAAAATTGTCAACTAAATCTTCCTTGCAACTCTACAAAAATTCTAAGTTCCTCTACCAGTTTGCAATTTGCATCAAGAAAGTCTAGATTTGTGCATTTAATTAAACCTGTAGAAAAAAAACAGGTTTAAATGTATGCCTTTAAAATTAGCTACATGCCATTACAAGATGCAAATATGGCTCAGTGGATCATAGCTTGCAAATAAAAGATTCAGATCTATGGCGTAGTATGTGCTATTCCAAAAATGTGTAGATGTTAGCTGTCTCATTATCCTGCTGAGCCTTCCAGCCAGTGACCTCTCCAGTTGTCTCTCTGCTTTTTGAGACAGTGGCTGGTTTAAGAAACAACCACAGTCAGGAAGACACTGGCCATGTCAGGAGGTTTGGAGGGAGGCAAAAAATGCTCCCAGGCCCCTAGATAATACCAATAAGCAAATATTTCTGCATGTAATAAGCAAAAGTAGCATCTGGCTTTCCAAATGTTCCTTCAAAGGGGAAAAATACTTTTGCTTTTATTCCCTGCATTCAGATAGACCAGATGCATTGGTGATGCTCTATATCACAACAGTGCTGTGCCTACACATTTTCTTATGAACTTTATACTATTTGCTATTCACTCAACTTCCAAAAAACAATTCTGCTTTAGGTGCTGATTCTAGAACATTGATCCACCTGCTGAAGCAGCATTTTCATTTACCATGGAAGAGAAATCCCTTAGGTCTCTCTAGAACCACTGTTTGCTAATTTTGCACAAAGATTCTCCATCTGCCAGAAAAGGCACAAGTTTACAACTGCACATGGAGGTTTCAGGCTACGTCTTGGGCATTGTACAAAAAATCAGCTGTGTTCTTTCCAGCATTTTCTGCCACAATACAAAGAGCTGCTGCAACGGGGGCAGCCATGGGCAGACAAGGCACAGCCTCTGATGAAAATATCTTATCAGCCATGCCTAGGGTTGTTGAATCAGTTCACTTTAGCCACAGATGGCTGAGAGGAACCATGAAGATGGACACAGGAGGTGCAGCTAGTTCTTACAACATACTTGTTTCCACAAATATTTTTTTAAGATCTTGCAGGGTGTCAAAGATCCGTGCTAGCACACTGGAAAATAGCACTGATGCAGGTTTTCTAGACCTCATTGGAAAGAAAAATGATAAAATGCACATTTTAAAAAAATATATAACATTCATGTCATTGACATGACTGTGCTCAAGTAGCACAGCTCCTGCTCTTTGAAGCAGGGCAGTAAAAAAAAACCAACTCAATTTAATCTACGTGTACCTGTTTACAATACACAAGACGAAGGATAAGCCGTAAAAAATAGAACTGGGGGAGGATACAATACAACTCTCTTCACTCAGATGAAAGCTAGTAGCAAGAAAGGATGAACTGTGCTTTCACAGACCTGGTTTGGAAAATTAAATATGTTAGTAAATGTTGATCTTTTCTGTAAGCATTATTATATCTCTTCCCATTGTATTTTTTCAGGAAAGTGTAGCTTAATATAAAGATTCCTCATGTTTCACTGTAAAACGAGCAAAACAGAGACTTCTGTGGTTTCTTTTATTTGGAAAAGTAATTGGGAAGCTGTCTTAGGAAGGGATGAACATACCCAGCAAGGTACTGTGGAGCTTTGAGACCCACCAGACTTCAAGTCTTGGACATGATCAGCATTTTCTCCTATCATGATATCAGTGCTCAATATACATTACCACAGTAACTTTATTAAACAAAAGGGGAGGGGGAAGAAGGTATTTACCAACAAACATGTTTTCTCCAGTCATATTCCAGACTGTGAGGTATGTGTATTGGCTTCACGGTATGACTAATAAGTGGGCTGTTCCTATGTGTCTGTAGATTCTAATTCACACAGAGAGAAATTGTTTTACGAGATAAAAAAAAGTGAAAAAGAGTTTTTAAAGGCTTTTAAAGTAAGAGTTTTTAACCCATGCCAGATCTTCATCAAGGATGAACTTGCAAAGTTCACATTGGATATGGAAGAGACAACATGTATTTCAAACCCAGGTCCTGAAATGAATGCAGGAGATGTGCTGATGCTCTAAAAGGACTGTTACACAGTAGGTCCTCCTAGTCCTTGGTCTTACTGAGAAATTAATGAAGTCCTGAGCACAGCTGAGGCTGTATGCTGCTGATGACGTGCTACAATACCAAAATCAGGAGACCTGAACAGAGCAGGGCGCTACACAGTGCAGATGCACATGCCGATGCTTGGCCATTTGCCCAAGGCTTAGGGGCATGGAGGAGATAAATTTTAAGCAGTGTATAATGACAAGAAATGTTTTGCTTTGATATTTTATCTTCCCACTGCTGCTTCAAAGCAGGTTGTTGTAGCAAATGAAAAAATAATAAAGACCTTCACTTTTTCATGTTTACAGGCTTACCTTATTGAGACGTTCAAGGGTCTCTTTTAGCCTCTGCTGATATTCACGTTCATTTCTATACCTGCAAATAGCATAAAGGAGATGAAGTTCAATGGTTCATCCTTCTGCAAACTGCATTGCCACCTGCACTGCCATGCACAACATATGCTTCACACTAAAGCACAATATGAATCTTGAAAGGGCCTGAATGATTGATTGATGTATTAGCATTAGGTTTTTTTTTGGTCCCAGATGCTGAGAGTAATTCCAGAATTTACTAACTTCTTTCTCCTCAACTTATGTAGCAGAAGACAATGGAATGCCACACATTGGCTATCACTTTTCCACAGAAAGCCCAAGAACAGATTATTTACAATAAAAGTCTAATTGATTTGCATTGGACAGCCATTCATCAGTGGTTCCTACGTGAATATTTGCTACATGGGCACATCAGTATTAAATTACACTGTACTTGGTTTTCTGTTCTACCTCATATTGTTCAGCAAGCATTTTCATGACAGAGGCATTAAGCACAAATGTTACAATTTCACATATTGATTGTATGTGAAAAAGATTGTATTAGGATGGTTTGAAGGATCAACATTTGTGTCCTCTTTAATAACAATTCATATTTCAGTTTGGTCAAAAAATACATGTGAGTCTTAATAAGGACTGCATTTAGCCAACTATTCTTCTGCGTTTATAAAATGTGCACAAGTCCATAACATGCATGTTCCTGTACTGAGAGAACAATGGATCTATATTGTTTACTTCTTTCATTTGAGCAAATGGCAGATATTCTTTAAGAATTAGGGCTCTGTATTTTTATGTCAGATAGAATTATCTGCTAGGAAATCCTTTTAGCTGCAGAGTACAAAATTTCCTAACTGTTGATTATTGTTGTTTCTTCTTTTCCCTAAATAAACCACACATAAAATGATTAACAGTAAATACGGTTTAATAAGACCTCATTAAGTAAAACAAAAAAAAGCAAGAAGTATCTTATAGGCAATGACACTTTTCCATAGTACTCAACAAGTGGTTCATCAAACTCCTGCTGCTGCTGCTTGTGACAGAATACATAGTCTATTCCTGCTTATCCCTTTGCTTTTCCTTAAATAATACAGATAGAGAGATATAAAAAGCTTTCAATTCTTACCATGAACAGCAAAGAATCCAGTGAAAAAGAGATTTTACTTCATTATCACTGCTACAAATTGCTGGGCCTCCTCAGCTGAAGTGCTATTTTCCGACAAAACTGAAAAAATGTCTTTTTCCCTAATTGTGTTAACACCAGGTTCACTTCCAAGGACACAAGCAAGGATATTCAGCTTTAAAAACAAGACTGCCTTTGTTTCTGTTGTTTATTAAGTAACTCACCTCCAACCTGTTTTCTATCTATCTTATAACATTTTTGTGTGCAGTTCAAAATAAAAACTTCATTAACTTAGATACTTTCTGACAACTGAGCAAGAATGAAGCAGATTGTGGTAGCTTGCGAAATCAAATATACAGCTACATTAAAAGTCTGGAATTACACTCCTAGTAATACACAGCCATCCAATAGTCAGGGTCTAAATTAGAACCGTAATGTCATTCAGACCTGCTCAAATCTGCAAATTTGCTAGATGCTCACTCAAAAATTCTTTCAATGACTGAAATATTCAGCAACATTTTCCTTCTCTCTCAAATAACTTCAATACCTGCTGTGTCACATAGCCATAAATGCACCTGGCAGCCCTGAGAGAGTTAATACTGGGATTCTCCTTTGAAGGTGGATTGCTTTCAAGTGATGTTCAATCTACTCCAGAAGCTCAGTACAAAAAAGGCTAAGGATCTGTTAGAAATGTGTCAGCAACTTCACAATACATATTTGCCTGCGAAATGTAGCTAATGAAAGTGCTATACTTCACAAATTGCAACCCTGTTATGCTTCAAACCTGATTTCAATGTTCAAGTAATTAGCTCTATGTGTTTAAAAGAGGCCACGTTTTTCTTAGGTGGCTGCTGGTCAGCTTTTCATGGATCTTAAAAGCCATGAGGATCATTTGCTTCATTTTTAAAAAAACCCCTCTCATCTAGTCAAGTAGCTTTAGGGGTGCAACAAAACTTTTTTGAATGTTTAGAAAAAAAGGATACTCATTTATTTTTTGCACGGGGAATGAAATGCAGTGAAGAGCGCTGCCAGGCTCAAACAAAGGCAGATAAGTGCTTTACAGGTTCCCATCACCTCACATCTCTTAGTTTAGCAGCTCTCTGTTACCTAAAAACAGATTTACTGGTGTTTGTTAAGCGTCTTGAGCCCCCCTAGAGCATGGGACACTGGCCTGGTGACAGCATCAGGCATGCACGAGGGAAGCCCACTGCTAGGCTTGTTTCTCCACCTGCAAAGCACAGCTCCAGCAGTGCTGTAAATCACTTTTCCCATCCCTGCTGACAGACAGGCTGTACTTGCTCTTAAAAGACAGGACCAGGGGAAGGCCCTTTTTTTCAGACCCTGCCTCTGCTGCAGTGCAAGGGCTGGCTCCCCTCCAAAGAGGAAAACAGCCACCATGCATCCTCATATGAAGCTCAATAGCCAGATACTCAATTTGGTGTCAAGACCGTGCTTTTAATATAAAGAGAAATGCTGCCCTTCTGTTGAACCCCACTGAACTCTTCCAGCAATATAAGAAATCTCTTGCCTTATCACAAGCTGAAGCTAAACTTTTCTACTTCTTTTCTCTTTTTCATTTTCTCTGAGGCACTTTGTTAGCCTTTTCTCACTAGAGACAGCAGAAATTCGTGTACCACAAAGCACAAACCACAAAATGCTGTTCCTGCAAGGATGACGGACAGGCCAATAATTATTGTATTTTATAACTTAAAAGCTAAAAGCTTAAAAGAGCCACGTGAGAGCTACACTCTGCTTATTCATGAACGTATTGCTACCTGCGCTATCAAGAAGCTACTACTGAGCAGCTGATAGCAATGGGGCAAGATTTTGGCAGTCTGAGAACAGGGTGTAGGGCAGGCAGGACCTCCTCACCTGCAGCTGCAGCAGGATAAAGCTCTTCCTATCACCAGAGAAGTAGCAGCGCAGACTGCCCTGTGCACAGGGCTTGAAGATCATCTTTACTGATGATCACTGTCTATGGAGTGCCTGCTGCACTAGCTATAGCATTTTCACATTTGTTTTTGTTTTCTCTTATGGGTGTTCAGTCTCCACTGCGGCCCCAAAGGGTGTCAGCTCATCTGAGGATCACCACATGGCACAGCCTGGAGAACTCAGTGCCATATTCTGTGTCTGGCATCTTCCAGAGAATCATATTGCATGCAAAACACACAGTGAACAAAATTTAAATTAAAAGATCAATATGCAAGACTTTTAAATTCTGAAGTTAATGAATTCTGTTCAGTCAAGGGTGCTAAAATCAAGATTTCAACATCTTTCCTAATATCATGCAGAGAGAAATACAGTCCTTTCCCATAGCCAAATGTTACACTTCTAATAATGATGGTCAAAATAATTAGCATAATTAGTCTTTTTATGAGATGCATCCAATTCGTAGCAATGTGGGTATTTTTGCAACCTCAAAAGAAAGAATTCTCCACTGGTACAGATTCTAAATCATTCTTGTTAATTTGAAAGGCTATGAATGTGACTACAGAGAAATTAAAAACAAATTTTGAAGTAAAATCTACTTTTACAACTTTTCCCACATTTAGTTCTACAGATCTGGTAGTCCCAGGGCCTACTGTGTTTAAACGTAGCTTTAAAAGGTCTTCTTAAATAAATGTACTTTTAAAAAGTTTACTTATAAATATAAATCTATTTCCCAGATTGTGAATATAACTAAAAGAATGGGTTGTACGAGCTTCAGTTCTTTGCCTTAGTGAAGGACATAGGCATTTGTCAATTAATTTGTACACAATGTTCCACTCGAGAGATTTTGCTGAAAGTGGATGTTTTATGTTTCAAAATAAAGCATGAAACCCACACTTCCCACTGCTGACTGAGTGCAGAGCCAGGTAGGAGAGCAGTTCTTCAGCACAGGTATGTTTTTGGTTTCAGTAGCACGGCAAGGCCCTAACATGGCACAGAAGATTATTCCATCCATATTTTGTTTAAAGAGCTTTATTTATACATTTAAGTAGCTTGAAATCATAGCCATCAGAAAGGCTTTGAGCTACAAACAGGGTGACAAGGCAGAGTACGTCTTGTCAGAACATGGGACTTGTTTTAACATCTGCAAGTCAGAACCCAACAATTTCTTTCAAATGCTGGAGAAGAAACTTTCATAACTGTCTTCAGGACAAACTCAGCAGCTCCCAAGAGAAAAAAAACAACAAAATCAAAATTCACTTCTTGATGTAAACTGAAGGCAATTTCGTTACAAAGCAGGCACCGCCCTTTCTTGCAATGGCCCCGTGTATCTTCAATTTTTAAATTGCAATGTTGTTGGCTTCATATAGCAAAACTTTGGTTTTTTTGTTTACTTATGCTGAGTGCATCTACACCAATGCACGCAGCATGGACAATAAATAGGAGGAGCTGGAAGCCATTGGACAGCAGGACAGCTATGACCTGGTTGCCATCACAGAAACGTGGTGGGATGACTCTCATGACTGGAGTGCTGCCATGGATGGCTATAAGCTCTTCAGAAGGGATAGGCAAGGAAAGAGAGGCGGTGGGGTGGCCCTGTATGTTACGGACTGCTTCGATTGTACAGAGCTTGATGGTTGTGATGACAAGGTGGAATGCTTATGAGTAAAGATGAGGGGTAAGCCAACAAGGCAGACATCCTGCTGGGGGTCTGTTATAGACCACCCAACCAGGATGAAGAGGTAGACAATGCGCCATGGGCAACAAACGGGGGGAGCTGGCATCCATTGTGCAGCAGGTCAGCTATGACTTGACCACCATCACAGAAACACGGTGGGCTGACTCTCATGACTGGAGTGCTGCCATGGATGGCTATAAGCTCTTCAGAAGGGATAGGCAAGGAAAGAGAGGCGGTGGGGTGGCCCTGTATGTTACGGACTGCTTCGATTGTACAGAGCTTGATGGTTGTGATGACAAGGTGGAATGCTTATGAGTAAAGATGAGGGGTAAGCCAACAAGGCAGACATCCTGCTGGGGGTCTGTTATAGACCACCCAACCAGGATGAAGAGGTAGATGAAGTTTTCTACAACAGGCTGGCAGAAGTCTCACTATCGCTACCCCTTGTTCACGTGGGCAACTTTAACTTACCGGACATCTGCTGGAAATACAACACAGCAAAGACGAAACAGCCTAGAAGGTTCCTGGAGTGTGTGGAAGACAACTTCTTGACGCAGTTGGTAAGTGAGCCTACCAGTGGAGGTGCCTCGCTAGGCCTGCTGTTTACTAACAGAGAAGGACTGGTGGTTGATGTGGTGGTCGGAGTCCATCTTGGGCTTAGCGACTATGAAATGATTTAGTTCTCGGTTCGTGGTGAAGTCAAGAGGGGGGCCAGCAAAACCACCACCAGGGACTTTCAGAGGGCAAACATTGGACTGTTCAGGACACTGGCTGAGAGGGTCCCCTGGGAAAGAGGCCTGAGGGGCAAAGAGG